CCAAAATTTATCGATTTTGTTTACTCTGTTCCGGGATATACTTCGGACAATAAACTCTTTTTTTTAATGCTTTTCATTCTTAACTCGTACTCATTTTTCAAAAGTATATATAAATATATCTGTTTATCCTTCTTGTAAATGTTCTTTTCAATCATTGTTTCCTTACAATATATTTATAGGCATTCTAATCTTTAAATTAATAATAAATTTGAATGGATTACTTGCCATCAAATACAAGAAAATGGCTTCCAAATGCAGCCTTACATCACCAGATTTTAATGTTTAGTCAGGCGTTAAATACATTGATCTGGTAAAAAATTCATATCGATTTTAGATTAAAATATATAAAAATGTATAACTTATAGGCATATAAAATATTTAAAATGTCTCAATAGTAAAAAAAGATTCTATCAAAATTACAAAAAATGAGGTCGAAAAAAAGAAGAGATTTGGTCTTATCAAAAGATTAAATGTAAGTCATCCTAACGTCTCACTTTCTTTACTTATCAGAAGGTAAAATTGGGACAAGGTTATAACTCAAACCCATACTAAACCCATAGAATATTAAAAGATTCGATTTCTTTATTAAGCATTAAAATTCTCTCTCCATCCTTTATATAAAGGTGTGACCTGCGTTGGAAAACCAAAAAGCGCACTTAAAATAATTGCATTCTGACCTCAACTCGCTTATGGGCCAAATAGGATTAAAATCGAACTTTTATGAGGATTATCTTTCGTATAATAATGTATTTGAACTTTCTACGAATAGTTTACTTATAGTTTATATATAAAGATTGATCATTTTTTCAGATTATAAATTTATTTTTTGATTATATGTAACCTTCCCTAGATGATTCCTTATTGAATATATGGTATCATTCGATGTGTATACCAAACATACTTCAATTCTCGAGTGATTCATCGAATGTATACAATCTCGAGTGTATACCAGATGTTTCTCTACTTGAATATTCTGCAATTCAGTATATTAGGTGAAGAGGAGCAGTTTCTAACTTGCAGGAGATTCACAACGGGACAAACTCTTTCTATATCCCGAAGAGATCGATAGAATAGCCTTATAACTCGGCTACAATTCTCTCGAGACCCGCAAATTTTCGCGATACGACCAACGATAACGGAAGCAGATCTATCAATCGAAGAATGATCGATAAAATGCGATCGACTCTGTCAGATTGTTTCCAGAAAACCATCATACTCTGTCCCGATTTCATTCTTTTTCTCTCTCTCTCTCTCTTAACAAATGACTTTTTCTTCTACTCAGATAAATGGACGATTTAAACGATTTTATATAAATCGCTGCTCTCTCTGATCTTTTCTTTTCTAGACAAATTATATCTTAATTAATAATGAAGTAGTATGGAAAGTAGGAAGTAGATAAACATCGACTGCATCCGAGGAAGCCTGATATGGTGCCAAATTTCCCTAGAGAAGCCATACTACATGCCATGTCAGTAAAAAGGTCACCTTCACGCCCGAACTGTTCAATTTTATAGAGTTGAATCGAGTTCAAGCTGTTTCTTACCAATCTGTCCCAAAACTAGATGCTTTAATACACTTACTCTTCGGGAGAAGATTTTTTTGTTCTTGTTCGGATTGTTGCCTTTAGCTTTAGAGAAAGTATTTTTCTTACTAGTTCTGTTTGAAAAAAATATATATATATTCTGAAAAGAATCTTACATTAAGTAACCAGTGTTTTTCATCACTTGTTGAGTTTTTCTTTTATGTTTTGTCGAGTATATAAAGCCTTTTTAGAAGATTTTTCTAGTAAATTAATGCAAATTACATAAAACTTTTCCAGAAGATTATTCCTTAGAAGTTTTTTCACAAACTAAATCCAGTATATCTAAATCATTGGACGAGAATAAACGACCTACAGCTTATGAACTCGTAATTTAATTCTATTATTTGGTGGAGAAGAAGAACTCTATGTATATATTTCAGTTTAGGAGCACAACAGTTCTGCATTCGTTATTTATTTTTCAAATACTCAAATTATTGAAGACAATATTCGATATATCTTATAATCGTGTTTAATAAGATAATACACTGTATTCTAGAATGCTTTTTCATTTACTATATGAAATTTTCATTTGTTTCTTTATTATATATACATCCACCATCACTTATTCTATCTTATATTACATCCACCATCACTTATGCAATTATTTATCTATATTTTTAACAGAGTATATACAAATGTTTACTCTTCCTTTACCTATAGTTTTAAAAGTTAAGTTTAATATAAACGTAACTTTCTTTAGATGTTTCTGTAGCGATTATGTACAGTACAGTAAATGTGTGTCTTTTATTTAAGTCTCTTCATCTTTAAATATGTGCTATTTATAGATTTGACGAGGACATTAACGAGTTTTCTTTTGCATTATGCCAACTATAGCCTGACTAATTGTATTGGTTAGCCATTCGAATCGTACAAACAAAAGTTTCTCTATCTTAATCGCAATTTAATTACTTTAATTTGGTCTACTTCCATTTTTCATTTCTTATTTTTTTTTGCCATTTTTCATTATCGAAATTATAAAAATATATATTACCAGATACTTTAATAATATTAAGAGAAAGTTTCATCAGGTTATCCAGATTAGTATACCTGTTTAAATTTTTTATAAAAGCTGTAAAATGTTTCTTTAAAAAAAATATATGAAAGAATTTCACTCTCTACTCGTGCATTCCACTCTCCTAAAGTGGAATGCTGTTTTCAATATTGTTGTTTTGCCCTCTTTCTTTATATATATATATAGTTTTTTTCCCCAGTCTTCCCTCTTGGAAATCTTTTCTTCAAACGTACAACCTCTGTAAAATGTTTTTCTAACAAATTAGTTGCAGATATATCAGAGAAAGTAACACAGCAACTTTCATAAAACAAGAGCAATTTTCTTTTATCTTCTTCTGCAAAAACTCTTCTTTTTTTTCTACTCCAGAAAAGTGTGATTAACTAGGATTTAATATATAGCAGCAAATATTACTAAGAAGAATAGGATTTATCATAATTAATGATGGATTTTTTTAACTTTTTCCATTCTTCAACTTCGTCATTTCATCACGTAAAGGTCAGCATCTCAAAGAAAGAAAGGAAAAAAAAAAAGGATGCGGATCTAAATAAACTAGATTTTAAAAGCTTCGAAAACTGTTCTTTAATCTCATATATCTTTGGCATCTAAAAATTTAGCAACAATAAAGTCTATTTTTATATTAAAAAAAAAAATTTTTTTTCATATGATTAAACTTAGCAAGAGAGGAATATCGAGTAAAAGTCGACTCCCATGTGGTATCTGCTACGTAATTACATTTTTCTGCCTTATTCCTAATCCGATAAACACGATCTCCATGGCAACCGACCGAAGGTGTATTGTTATAATAGAGTTAAAAATTGACCTTCTTCGAATAAGAGGTCTTTAAAGACGACGTCCCCGATGACTCTTTCTCTTCTTCACATATCTATCATCTGGTGACCTTTTAACATAGAAATCTTCCAAAAAAAATAATAATAAATACCGATTTTGCAACATGAGATTAGTATTTTCAGAATATAAAGACTATCTTCTGACAAAATTCTTGTATAGGATGGGTATAAAAGCGTTTTTATACAAGTTTCTTCATAAAAAATAAGAAGGATTAAGATGTTTTAGATCGTGTTTTTCTTGATTTTGAGATACTAGTTGTGGATTAATTTAATTCCAGATGATTCTGGTTAAAGGTTAAGATGATAAAGATAATGATAAGGATAAACTTGATCTCTCCGCAGCGATGTAGAGTTTGCTGTATAACAACTTTGCTAAGGATGCTCGATACGATAACGTTGTATCTACCAAATGATATACAACAGAAAGGAAGTATTTGTACAATTCTTTTGCTAGAAACTTATTTTTTCCATCTTACTAATCAAGAATATCAGGAATATATATATATATAAATTAAACAACAAACTCGAAACTGTAACATTATTTTGAAACTTTATACAGTAAAAAATATATAGGATTGCCCAAAAGTTAGTTAACCAAAAACTAAAATTACTTAAAAACTGTTAAATAATTGCTTAAAATAAACTTCTCTTTTGTTAATACACAAACTACAATAGTAAATTGCTTTCATACGACATTGTTAAATGACTCTTAGACCACTCTGTATACATTATACTATAGACTTGAGCTTATAATATCAATATAAATAAGATAATTTCTATATTTGTTTAATATAATAATGTAATTTTTAAGTGTATTCATGTATATAATTAACTCTAGTATCAGTTTAAGAGAAAATTTTAACTTACCTTTATTAAGTTCGTACTTTAGCCAATCATTTTTATCCATCTTTTAATTGTAGATCTGTACAGTTGTTACATCTTCCTTCTAAAAGATGCCACAAAGCATCACAAAATATCTTCGTAATGTTGAATTATTTCATATCTTCCACTAATTAATTAGAAGTTAGAATGCAAATTCTTTGTCTGCACCGTCAGCCATACGACATCTTGTCGCACCTCCAGCAAACTGTAAGATGTTGTCTTTTTTATCCTTAGAGATGCTTAACATTTCTATATATAAGTAGCATTAAAGTAAGTAAAAACTGTACGTAATGTATGCTTAGACCCTCTCTGCTGTTTATGTATTTATGTATAAAGTGTATAAATTTATTTGCACGTCTCGCCAGAATGATGCTTCATTTCCTTTTTAATTTATGACTGTGTATTTTGTATTGATAACGAAAATGCTTTGCTTTAAGAAAAGATATTAACGTACGATTTTCATGAGATAAAACTGCAAGAAGTTTTGTAATAAATTTAAAAAAAAAAATACACTTTTCAATATAAGAGCAAAAACCCCTTCGGATACCCAATCTCATGTTAGCGATCGAAGCGATTTCTCGCTTCTCTCGCCAACATGGAAACGGGTGACTGATGCAACCAGAAAATTTACCATAATTTTTAAGAAATTCTTCGCGGAGAAAAGATGGAGTAGGTGAAAATAACGAAGCCTTAATCTGTAAATAAATGTGATTTATTTACTATTTAATCGCGATTTTCCAAAAAACAAACTACAGAAACTATTTTTCTGCTAAGTGCAGTGATCGAGACAGGAAAAAGGGGGCTTGTATATACAGCCATAGAAGTCCGGCTTTGGTCCAGTGTTGCGGTCAGTGGTGAGTGCATAGTGGGCAGACCCTGTCGTATCCAGTCAACTTTATAGAGAATCGAAAACGAAGCCACTTTGGTAGAGAAATCGTCCACGTGATTAACTGTTTTGTTCTACTTTTAAAAATGGAATGGCAGTTAGTTTCAGGACTACGCTCCCTAGGTATCATCTTCCACAAACGATTGGACATAGAAAGAAGAGTCGGGAAGTGGGACAGTTCGAGGACAAACCAAATTATATATATATTTATATATATATATATGAATATATATAAAAAGTAAACAGCTGGACTGCCTAGATTCCTCCGCTTTTAAGCTAGATATAACAGGAAGATCTATAGACGAGGAAGACAAATCACACTTGAAGCATTCCTGACTTTTCTATCGAGCATTATCTGAGAAATTGATCTTAAAAGATTTTTCTACGGTTACAAGAATATTTAAAAGGTCATCCGGCACAATTTATCTGTTCAAATCTCTTACTTTCTCTCTCTCCTCTCTCTCTCTTTCTCGCTCTCTCTCTCTCTCGCTCTCCCTCCTCCATTCAAACACTAAAGAGAAAAATAGCATTGCATAAAGTTAACTAACTCTACGATTTTTGATGTATAAAGAACGATCAAGAGACTGGAAGTCACGATATATAGCCAAAGTCCACTTGTCGAGTGCTCCTTGAAAAGTTCGAATAGGCATCTTTTGTATAATTTGTGTTGTTATGGTGGACAGATATTTGATGAGAAGCTCCGACCTCAGAAAGGGCATCAGAAATTGTACTGAGAATATTTATTTATTTTATCACATTTTAGAAGTGTTTTGGTCTCCTAGTTGGCTTGTTTTTATTGGTTACACTTCACCAAATTCCTTCGACGAAGAACTAGAATAGGGACTAGGGGACCTAGAGTAGTTCCTCACCGCCAGTTGGTGGTGAAGATGGTAGGGTCAAGAGCACTTCCCGCCCCAGTAGCCGTTTGGTGGCGCCCTCTTGGTGCTCGGAAGGGTTTGTTGCTGTCCGAAGTGACTGAGATGGCAGGTATTGGCGTGACACGAGTGCCAAGAGGTCGAGGGTGCCACCGAGGCGACGCTCCCCCTCTCTACATCGCTGCTGGCTTCGTCCTGAGCCTTCATTTGGTTGGCATAAAATTCCCAAAGCTTTCCGATGATAATCGTGGCCATGGCACTCCCGTGGTTGTGTTCGATCATCCTCAGCACAAACACTCCATCCCATCCTAGGTAATTATCCGAAATTTTCCGAGAAATTCTCGATATGTCGGCCATACTAATCAACCTGGTTCTCCAAAGGATCAGGCGGATAAAGGCGAGGCGGTTGCACGGAAAACAACGCCAAACCCAGAGAAACAGGCTGATAAAATTGACGGGAAGAAGGAAAGCCATGTAAAACCAGATTACCGAAAAGATCTTCTCGTTAAAAACATTGATAGGCAGGACGCAGCGGCAGATGTAGGTGCGGAGCCCACCTTGTATGGCGGCCCTCACCTGGCATAAGGTCTGGAGCGGGAAACGCGGCGAGTTCCACCAATCGCCATCAATGGCCAGACGGCGCAGCAGCTCCACCCCGTGCCTCAGAAAACCACGACCCATAAAGGCTGTCAATAGAAGAAACTGGAAGAAGACGTTGAGGACGTATAGAGTCTTTACCATCAGATAAAGAAGACAGAGATAGCGACTCGGACCGCCCGTGCACCTACACACCACCGGAATTCTACAAGTGGGGTCGGCGCAACAACTGGCATTGCCCGTCACCAGGGTGTGGAACTGGTCGACGAACTCGGCCAGGAGAGATTCTCTCTGTTGGCAACCCGGAGGAAGGCTGGCGATGTCCGAGGCTCTCTTCAACAACCGACGCAGTTTCACACCCGCGTTGTGAGCCCAAGCGCCCCAGAGAACAAACGGTAGATGAAAACAGCATCCTTGCATCAACAGGATGAGCGGTGCCCATTGGTAATAACTGACGTGCACCCTTCTCAACTTGTCGGATCCAACCTGAGTCTCGTCCACGCTGGCATAGTCGATCTCGTCCGGCATCAGTCGGGGATCCAACGGACTAGGAGAAGAATCTCCACTCTCCTGATCGCCTTCCTCCGCTACCAAGTAGTAAGTCGAAGCGGTCCAGCAGTAGCTATTGACGAATCTTGCTTGCGGCTCGGTGAAATAAGTGGGTGTGAAACATTCGATGGGATCTCCTATGTACTGTTTGGTAAAGATGGGCAGAGCCAGGAAGAGGAATACCAAGAGAGTGTATTTGCGGTTTAACTTGTCGATTCCGTCGTCGATGGGGATGTGGATACCCCCGATCAAGTCGTGGAACCTGAAGAGGAAGGACATTGTTGTCGAATCCGGGAGGGTCGTGGTCGAAAGATTCTTCCGGGTCTGAAGATGTTAAAGGCGCGCGGTTCGACTGGAGTTGAGGCACTGATGAAGGTCGTCTTCTTAATAAGCAGAGCGGAGAGCATGGCCGGGGTCACTCGGGCATCTGCAAACAAAATGCAATACGTTACTCAATCTAACATCATCTGTATTTAAACTTTCCTGTAAACCATTTTATCAAAGATCACTTAATGCATTGTAGATTATACATACCCTGAATTTAATGAACTTATTAAGATTCTTTTAATTCAAAATTGTCTCTAAATCCTTGAATGCACTACAAATATTCTAATAATTTCGTTAAACATTATCAAGATATGCGAATTAGCATTTTTTATTTGGATTTTTTAATGTTAAATCTCAAAATTCGACATTTAAAATCATTATCAAACACCTTTTTGGATATTCAAATCTTAGAAATGTTCATTACATAGTCTAAATCTATGTAAAATCTTTAGTTAAAAGCACCTAAAGAGTTAAAAAATCTTAATATATAAAAGACATCAATGTTTCTTTCTAAGAATCTCATCGATGAAAATCTAAAATTGATGCTTTAAATTCTTAAAACACGAATTTTATATGATCCTCAAATGCTTTGACAGAATTCTTCATCCTGGCTTGATTTCTGAGAATGAATGCTTCGAAAAGAATCTCAGAAATCGAGTGTTTCAAGCGAATTCTCTGGAATACTTCAAGAGGATTTTCTGGAATCAATTGTTTCAAGAGGATTCATAGCTGGAATTCTTGAAGAAGCTCTAATGTAGGCTCTTGAATAATTCAAAAAACCTAAACTACAATAAATTCAAGATATAATATTTTAGAATCACTCGATTTTAAAACATTTCTCACGATTCTTAAACAGTATTAACTCGTATAAGATTCACATCGTAGATCGATATATAAAATGATAAATGAGAAAAATCTCTTTATTCTTCTTCAGAAGAACAGAAAAAGAAATTAAAGAAATTAAAAATAAATAACATTAGAAAATGGAAGAACATTTTGTTTATTATTTAAGCAGGAAACATTGTTTTCAATAGTTTAAATTGAACGTCATCATTTCGGTCACGCAACACAATCTTGTTTATCTCAAATAGAGTAAAATATATTGGCCAATTTTACTTTCCCACGTAACATTTAAAAAATGATAAAAAATGATCTCCTCTATCATATTGCGGAGGAGGAAGACGAGCAGACTTGTTAAAGTGATTTATTCCTTTAACAACGATTACCTGAGTGTTATCTGAAGATGATGATATGTAAATGATGTTAGAGGTTGATGAAAGATCGTGAAATTCTTTCCTAAAGATGAAGGATGCTTTCTTTTATCTTCTTCATCATCTGATGATAATAAAGGATAAACGAAGATTTTGATGCTCTGGATATTATCTGAAGATGAAGATGCAATTGATATAAAATAAAGACGAATTTAATCAAAAATTTTATCAAATTTTTGCAAAATTATTGTAGAGATTTGAATGAGGAAATACGAAAAGTAATTAAAGAAAATTAATTTTTAAATTCAAACAATTAATAAATAAAAATTAATGTTTTCGAATGAATAAAAGTGATGATAAGAATTGGAAAATACAATTTTTAATTAAGAAAAATCATTCTTTTCAAATTAAGAGTTTTTATTCTTCATAAAAGTAACGATAATTGTCTTTATTGAGTCACAATTCAGTAAGAAAAAAAAACAACTTTAAAAGAAATTTTGACTTATTCTCAGAAAAAATAATAATAAAACAATTTAATTAAAAGTATATTTTCCAGTTATTTTCTTCAATAATATTTACTTAAAATTAGTTTTAAATTTAATTATATTTGCATATCCTCCCTTTCTCTCTCTCTCTCCCTCTTCTTTCTCCTTTCGTAATTTATATTTGCAACATCTTTGCTACCGAATTATTGTTGTTAAACTATTTAAAATTTTTGCTTTTTCCTGTTTATGTTGCCATTTTAAGTTGGTTTAATGTTTAACATAGTAATTTATGTAATTAAAAATTTGCTAAACAGTATAAAATTGCAAATTTCTCAAAAGAATTTATGTACTTTGCATATTTTTCACTAAATATAAGAGCAAGATACCAGCTTATAGAGTTGATATGATGCAAAATTCCCTGCTTATAATGTTTTCATTATCAAATATTTACGTATAAAAATGCATCACAGTTTATACTGACATCTTAGATTAATAAAACCCAGTTTAACACTATTTAGAGCTAACACATTGTTTAACGAACCCGCTTATAACGTTAAAATAATCTTTAAAAATCTATCTCTAACACTGTAACTTTTAAAATCTATTTATAAAAAGTTTAAATAGTTAAAAACGTTTCTTACTTTTGTTCTTCGCGATGATCCAAAGAAAAATCTATAAAATTTTTCATAATTTTTAATGTAAAAAAAAAAAATAAGGCAGAAATATCTTCATAAATTTAAGTTAAAATGTAGCATTTTCCGCTTTAAAATCAATTTTAAACTACGAAAATTCCAGAGTAAATGAAACTATTCACTCAAAACGATCCACTATAAATGTTATTTTCCTATAAATTATCAAAATTAGAACGTTAAAACGAGAACAAGACTTTAACTTTTATCGATTTCTAATAGAGAAATCCTTTATAAAACTTTTATATCCTATCATTTAACAGGAAAAATCAAACATAAAGCATCCCTCTCTCATTGTTAAGATATTGTTATAACGGCGATAATTATTATTAATATTAATTATACTAGAAACTTTTCCTCAATATAATTATCTGGATTCGCTTTAGAGAGGTTTAACTAATCAAATTTTATATAAATTTACTCGATAAAACGTAAAAATGAAGCTTACAATAACTCTATAACGTATTATAGTTATGAATTCTAAACGGAGTAATGTAATAATTTAAACAAGTTCTAGCTCTAAACAATAATTGAATCTGGTGCTGCGTGCAAACGTTAAACCATTTAAAATATGTATAACTATTGGCATAAATCTTTACTTATTATATTACTAGGCAATATCTATTAATGGAAATATGCGCTCTCATCATCATCGAGTGCTTCATAAACTAACACCACCAACGTGTGTGTGCTCTTGGCTCCGTACTGCACCAACTTTGCCACCTACAAATGTTCTGACGATTTACCTATTTACAAATATAATTTACGTATATAAATGCATTTGAAATGATCAGCGGGGAACAGTAATTAATCTACAAACAATAGATAATGAGATGAATTTCTCTGACGTGTCGCCATTTTGAGTTTCTTCTTCTTTTCCAGCATCCGCATCACTTTTCGCTATGGAAAAAACGCCTTTTTCTTTATAGAAATCCGTAGTTTCCGAATTTAAACTGTGGATTAATTTAAATGTAGAAGTTAAAAAATTAGTTATAATTATAAATTCTATTATTTTGGCTTCGATTTTTTAAAAAATTCGCATCACTTTTTCAAGTGGAAAAGTTGATTTCTTCTCCAACAAAATCTGCATTTTTTTTTTATTTTTGGTTAAGATTATTCTATAAATAACAACAATTTTCGATTATGGAAGTTAATAAAAGTTGACTCTAATCAAAAAAACACCATAAAAAATCTAAAAATGAGAAGAAATTTTCCATTAAAAGTGGTATTTATGAATTTAGTTTAGTTGAAAGAAGCTCTTCGATCGATGTGTTGGAAACAAATGGAATCAAAAGCTAAAACTCTGATTGAAACTTGTCGGTCTTCATTGAATTTTATCATCTGTGAAAAGTCTCATACATACAAAATGAGGAAGGAGAAAGGGATTTTTTAAACTAAAAATCTGTTAAGCAGGAAAATTTATTTGATAAAAATGAAAATAAATTAGTGACTAGCTATTTTTAAAGACAAATTAGTTCTTTCCGGGTGCTAATCAAGGATCGATATTTATATTTTCGGCTTTTTTCTGGATTATTTTTCTTTAAAAAAAAAAGTTAGAAAAATATGTTATTTGATTTTCTGAAACTACCGAAAAATCTTCTGAACAAATAATTTTAAAAAAGTTAACTTTAAAAAGAGAATTAGAAACTTACTTTTGGTGTCTTTAAAAATTGCAATAATTACGTAATAAACTTTAATGAATTCTATAAAATAAAGCACAATCTTCATAAAAATTACATAAATATGCCTCTTTTTTTTAAAGCAGATCTATTTGATATCTTTACAGTTACTACTGGGTTTAAGAATCTTCGGAGCATCCTCTTTCATCAAAAGAAGCTCAAGATGAGAAACAATAAAACGCCAAACGATGATAAAAAGTAATTGTAGTTGGAAACAAATATTGTTTACGAGATTCAATCATCATAAGCTATTAAATAAGTAATATTCATTTCCCATAATGTGGCTGATAAGGGAGATGGTCGCAGTCATTAAACACCTCCATTTGATATTGCGGTCTTTTCTCCACGGATTACTCGTTGATCACGTGTGTTTGCTCTAACTCCCTCTCTAATTATACAAAGTTCCGACATACAAACGTACAAAAATATGCCTCATAACAAGTCTATTCACTATAAAGATCAGAGAAATCACTAAAAATTAAGAGTTAATCGACGAACTTTTCCACGAAAACTTCATTAAGATAAACAAATTAACTTTCACAGGCGTGCAAATTAATTTTTCTTCTTCTTTTTCTTGAAACTTATTGCATTAAAAATAAATTTTTTCATTAATTAATCCTAAAACTAATAATTCTAAGCAACCGAAATCATGTTTCTTCCATTGAAAATGATGCTTGATATCTTAGTTTTGAAGAATTTTGCTTCTACATTATACAAAATACAACGTTTTCAATTCAAGAGAATCTAGAATTCTAGATATTTTCATATGGTTTTCACTATATATTCCAGAATTGAGCTTCAGGATAAATGTGAAGAAGAAGAGGAAGAGGAAGAGGAGGAAGAAGAGGAAGAATGCTAAAATTTTATTTTTCATGTTTCTAAAATTAAATAGGAAAATATTTTTTGCTTTTTCCTTCCAAAACTCTTCATCTCTCATTAGAAATAATCTCACCTTTCTATCAGAAGCATCTCATTTATCCTTTTCATTAAAGTCTCTACTCCTTACAGAATTTTCCAGTTCTTAAAGATAGGGAAT